CTCATTTCCTATGCTAAACTTTTCTCTGCCTCTTACTATTTTTGCATTCAGTTTTTCCCGGCCCTCACCACTGTCTCATCCTAGTTTAAAACTTCTCTTACAGCTAAGTTCATAGCCTTAGCAAACAAGCCAGCCCCTAATCTATTTAAATGTAAACCATCCATTGCAAAGAGCTCCCTTCTCCCACTGAACTGATCCCACAAGTCCAACCAGCCAATCTGCTCATCCTTACATACTAACCTAAGCCTAGTATTTAGCCCTAATGACCTACTTATAACTTCATCCCCAGTTAATTCTGGGCAGTATCCCTGACAAAAGTAAGTTATGTCCATTTTCTTTAAGTGCCTTTATCAAACCCTTAAACTTATACTTATTAATTAGCTCCTCTGACCTATCTTTCCCTACATGATTAGATCCTACATGCACAACAAAAACTACATCTCTGCTAGCACCTTTTCTTATATCTCTTGCTCTGTCAGTTATATCCTCCACCTGTGCCCCTGGGTAACATAATCTGATTCTTTTCTCCCTATTTACCCCACAGACTATTCTATCCACATGCCTTATCAAGGAATCACCTATAACTATAACCACCTAATCATCACATCTTTCTCTGACCCTTATGTTTTCCTTCTCTCCAATAGTTCCCCATCTGCAGAAGCCAAGGGCTCGAATTTGTTGCTCAACAGAATAGGCTCATTATAGCAAAATTCACCACTTTTAGCCCTAACAGTACTCTTTCTAACTTCCTTAAAGTCATTGTTAGCTGATGTATCCCTTGCATGTAAAAGGGATATCAGTAGTTCCACATAATATTTTCTAAACCTTCAACAAACTTCAACCAATAAAATAATTTAAAATGTTTCTGTATATGAGGAATACTTTGGTGAAGGGAAAGTACCCATTTTTAATAAAGCCTTCTCCTTTAGATAAGTACAGAACATATATTTCAAGCATTGTTCCTGTTCTTTAAGAAGTACATCATTATTTGGTCTTGAACTTATCAAGCAACATTATGAACAGGAATATATGAACCAAAATACAAGCAACAACTAAAGCTGGGCAATTTTACTGATATAATCAATTACCTAAGAGCAACAATTACATTGATTAATGTCAAGTAGACTAATCAATTAATCAAAATTATGAGTAAATCAATTAATGTCCAGAAAATAATCAACTAATCTAAATTTGTGTTTCTGATTATTACTGTTTTTGATTAATCCAACAATTTATTTATTGACATTATAATTAAATCAATTGTCAAGAAAATAATCAACTAATCAAAATTAGTTTACAATCATTATTATTTTTCCAACAATCAAACAAAATTATGATTAAATCTACTGTAATACCAACAATCAACTAATTGAAATTAAAGTTTCCAATTAATATGATTTTAGATTATTCCAACTGTCAAAATGGTCAACATATTGTTATTACTAGTGAACTGGTGGGCCTATAGGCCCACATTTACAGGAATACTATAATGCAAGTTTAATGCTTGAACAACTATTTTCCACTTTTTCAGTTAAATGATCATTACAGCTATAATGCTAATTTAGTTTCTTTAATCAAGTTATGAATGATAATTAGTATTCCTACTTATTTATGAGTTCTAATGTAAGTAAATGTCAAATTTGGGGTACACTTTCGAGAATCCCCATAAAAGTGTTTTTCTGAAATATCTGGGTTCTCTAAGGGGTTGGGTGAAAAGTTTTACTTCTGTTCCCACCTTGGGGTCAAGTCGATTCTTTTAAGTTGGTGACTTCAGCAGTTTTGGAGAAGGGGTTTCAGGAAAATTGCCAGGTTCTCCAAGGAATTTGGTGAAAAACTTTAACTTTGTGCAAACCTCAGGACCGAGATTATTCATTTGGTACCACATAGAAGTTGGTGCAACCAACAGTTTAGAAGGAGTTATGTGACACACACACATACTGAATCTTATCATATAGAAATTTGTTTGTTGTTAAGCATAATGCTATATATTGGGCTTATCTAAACCTGATTTTAGAATAATATTTTTTTTTCTTTTGGTTAAAGCTTGTTTAGATTTGGGCACCATGACCTGGTGACCCAAGTTTCTAATTTATAATTGCACAATTTTGTTCTTTAATTTTATAGAGACAGACATGGATCTAAGGAAGGGGTACAGGGGGCCTGAACCCCACTCCATTTTTCAGAAATAGTGAAATAAAAACCAGCT